GATGTTACGGACACTTTCCGACCGCACAACTGGTTTACTCGGAGTCAGTTTCTAATAGCGTCGACCATGGAGACTGGTTGAGATGCGGGTCTATCTCCCTTCGTACCTTCATCCTTGCGAATGTATTTGAGGGCGAAAGATAAATTGGTATCCCGACGTTCGACAATGCGCACTTTTCCAAAAGCGCCTCGACCGACGACACGTAAGAGCCGGAAATGATTCAGACTCACTGCGAGCAATTATCAGCTTTCTACTATCCTGTCTCAGAGTGTCTTTAACGGAGTGAAGGGTGTTGAATTGCGGGGAAATATGTCGCTCTGGGCAATGCACAGAACACGTGGGAGAAAACCAGCCCCCAAATGACGCCAGATCAAATCGCCATGGTCGTGCCTCGTGAATTGGCGAGAGAGGGGGGATAAGGGGGCAGAGCATACCGTCGCCGGTGAAATCCACAGGCTTTCCCTGACCGTTGCCCATATTGATGGATTGAGGTCGATGGACAACGCAGCAATTATCGCAATCGGAAACCGAGCACCATTCTTGGGGTCAAACGATGGTTTTGTTTCGTTCGGAGTGCCAGCCAATGGTGGTGGAGTCGCTAGTCGGGAGTTTGTTCTGGTAAGCTTCTGTCGAACGGGTGGATTGGACCAGTGATTTAACAAGGAAGTCGTAGTGGCTGGACGCCCGTCTGGCCGGCCAACTGGTATGTGGTGAGAGAAGGAAAAGAGTGCACAAGAATACAATCTGTTCCACAAGCTGTCGATGCGTCGAAACCCCTGGGGAGAGTGTAGGTGCTGCCGTGATCGGTTGGCCAATTTGGGGGATCGATAAGCGACCGATTAATCGAGGATGAAGCAAGACCGCGAGGCGAGTCTCCTGCTAGGTACTGGTAAGGGTTGCCGCCAGTGGCGAGAGCAGTGACAGGTCGGGGGTGGAGGGGTCGCCAGGCTGGTGATGGAAAATGGCTCGGGTGGAGGATGTGGTGAGATGGGATGGAGGATTGGGAGATGAGGAAGCAGAACGGTGAGTGAGACAATGCTGCACCTAGAGGACAGGCACGAGGAAGTGATACACAGTAGTAGCACCAGCAGGATCCAAGAGCAATGGAGAAGTAGCAGCCATGGTATTGCCGCCGCAAAGGGGAGTTGTGGATAAGGACTGAGGTACCGGCCAACAGGCAGGTACAACCTGGTGGTACCTCCCTAACTGCCTGCCTCCATACCAGCCTGCCTGTCTGCTCCTGCCTCCTAGCGGTGCCCAGGTACCTAGAAACCAGCATGATCAGCGACAAGCACGCACGCACGCACCCTGCACACCCCAAACGGGTCAGGTGTGGTGGCAGTAGCTCAGAAGCGACGATCAGTGACCAAAGACTAACGAAATGAGATGGAAGGAATTAATGGGGGTAAAGGAAATTGACGAGCCCATTCGCCCAAGAACAGCGCCGACGCCCAGAAGAGGAAGCCCCAGGCACTCGTTACATACAGGTATATCGTAGCAAGCAGCTGAGCATGAAGGAGATCAACCATCTATGCCTCGACGCATCCAAGCTGAGGGAGATGTATGTACCTCCGCCCAGGAGGTCCTAGATAGGAGGAACCTCTAACCACTCCAGGTCCATTGTCCCGAAAGTGACCACCAGCACCGGCGCTGTGCTCCGCCGCTACGGTGTACCTACCTATTCCTCCAGGCAGGTGGGAATGCAGGGGCCACAGACAGCCACGCACAGGGGGCCACGAGCCACTGGACAGGCGACTGCCAGCAACCACCTCTGCTCGACCCGATTTGCCCATGTACATCGCTGTTGGCCGCTTCAGACGGAACATGGTATTCCAAAACGCAGACGCATAAGTGCAGATTGCTATTGGCACCTAGCATGGCCATCTCGCATCCACTATCTCGCAAGGGGCCCGTCCACCGGCTCTGCAGTGCAAAGGCAAACACACACCAAGAAGGTGAGATGGGGGACGCTAACACCACCGTCAGACACCTTCAGGCTACCTACTGAAAGGCAGGCCTGAAAGTATCCATTTGTAAGAGAGCATGGAGCCTGGGTGGCCCGTTGTGATCCATGAGGGGGTTATTATCTGCCGCGAGTGTCCACGACCCACCACCCATAGGGACGACAGACATTTCGTATCGTGTACTACTTTTGAACGGCCAGATAGCCGTTGATTTGGCCCCCTGCGTTTGGGGGGCCTTGTTTTCGGGGTGTTTCTGCCTTGTTTGAGTTGTGTACTGTTAATATCCTGCGTTTCGCCTCAGATCTGGATGATGAGGCCAAAGTCCTATCTTGCATTCGGAGAAGGACTGCTCTGTACGGAGTACTGGTGTCAGAGATGAACTACGGATATCTCTGGCGTTTGTTTGGTCACTGACTAGATCCAGCACTAGCACCACTTATCGTCGACTCGCCACTGCCAGCATCCACCCACCCTTGATCTGTCCCTATCCCAATAAATGTACCTCGGACAAGAGCAAGACAAGAAAGTGGCTTGAGATGGCTCATTCGCCATGTGTCGGCATTCGCAACTTATCGACAACACCGTCATGGGGGAGGGGGGACCAATAGCCAATGGGTCGTGCCGCAAGGCCACGAGTTGAGACGAATCGATGCAACACTTCTTTCTTCTCCAGATGGATGGGAATAGTAATTTACCTTCCAGGGGCTGCATACCATCCCACACAATGGGATTGCGACGCTGAGGTTCTGAAGCAGCCCGTCGACTGGTTCTTGTCGCACAGGGGGTTGAACAGGGTAAATTAGTGCAACCGTCCCTGAGTTCTGAGTCCCACGTGTGCCACCCCATTTACGTGCCGCCGGTGCAAACCGACCTTTAGGGAGAAGTGCCACTATTCAGAGGAGGCTGATATTCAGGGACCTGGCGACACCCGCCAAAATGCGCGCTACAAGGGGGTTGGTTCGTCCAAATCGACCCATAGCCCACAGCGCTACAGGTGGAGGGGCAGCAGTTCATGGCCGCTACTCTGCGCCGAGGCCTTGCTGGTCGTTACTTTGCGTGTCGCGGGGGATGGCATCCCGATACTGACGAAACCAGATCGGAAGGTAGGGAGCTCGAGAGGCAGGCCAGAGACGCTGATGAAGTCCTAATATGGCACATATTTGTCTTGCTGCGATGCCATGGACCATAAGCTTATGTGTCTTGTGGCGACTCGAGATCTGGGCCTGGGGTGCGGGCTACCAGCATGCTTTCATGCCTGTCTTGTAAAACACCATACGGCCGATGGATGATGACTTGGTTGTCACTCGCTTGATGATCACGACAACCGACACCGAATAGTACGAGCAGCTCAACCCCCTTTGTGCCTCCATGCCACTTTTGTATTACTACCCACTTGGGTGCGTACAGTACCTCCGGTGTTTGCTCTTTCATCTGCCAACCCAACCTACACTTCTAGAAGCGAGAGCCGCAGGAGAGCTTCCTTCTTGCACATTTGCACTTCTCCTAATTTCATCCCCTGCTGGCAATGGGCAGAGGAGGGTAGGGTACATGCGCCACAGGTGCATGATATCCAAATTTACCCAGGCGCTGCAGCTCATTCTCGCGCCTGCTCCTTATGCCACAACGACATGCCTCAAAGCTGGTGGTGCATGCATACGATCTTGGGCGATTCCAGCCATTCTCTCGCAGGCAGATGGTATCTCATCCCGCCCTGGTCCCCCTGTCCGGGGCCAATACCCCAACCAGTCCTCCCCATTCTTCACGGCGGACCGCTCAATCGCATTGACAGGCTGGTTCAGGTGGATCCCCCACGCGCGACAGGCTGTGGTGTAACCACCAAAGAGATTCATGCTCCCTCCCTACCCCAAGCCTTAGGAGATAAGAGGGAACACCCACAGGCATGCTGACGCATACCCAACATGCGTGTCAACCGTGGGAGCTTGTACGATAGGTCGTGTACATTGTACGCGGCCGCCGGGCGACTGCAGCCGCGCCTATCGAGGTCCATAGCTCCGTCGGACTGGCCGAGACTCTGACACACTTCCCATCCTCCGGACCGGTACCTGCAGCGGAAGCATTCTAGAACAACGCAGATGGTGTTGCCCCCGACGCGACCCGGCGACACAGATGCATACATCGCAGTAGGGTTTCCTCAGGAGCATCGTAGAGCAGGATTCTGGCCTTCCCTATGGCATACGATCAGGCCGCAATCTCGGCGCACCAGCTGGCAAGTCCCAGCTCGGCCGAGGAGCTGACGTGAAATTCGATTTGATATCACCGATTGCAAGGAGTAGGTAAAGTACGTACAATCATGAGTAGTGCCATTTCCGCCATGCCATCACATCACCTACTAGACGGAGACGATTTTCATCACCTGCAAAGCCGCCGAATGAGTGAGGGACCTGCAGCAGATCATGTTTCATCCCCCCTGCCCTGTCGCTGTTGAGCGCTCAATGGCAACACCGTCAAGATTGGAAGATGCTCAAAAGACCAAGCCAAAAGTAAAGAGCACTTCGCATGGAAAGCACCTTGGCGTTTCACATGTTTCCCTCCAATCATAGGAGAGTTTCGCACAGATTCAGATGTGCAGTGGTTTGATTTCACGGCACGCCCGAAGGTTTCTTGGCACTGCGATAGTATGATCCATGCAGAAGGTAACCTACATAGTAGATGTGCACATGGCCTAACGACAGATTCAATCAAGCAAGAAACAAGTTCTGACTTGGCTGGCTATTGCTCCTTTTCGGAATCGGAGTTGCACTTCCAGGTTCCCTTATTACTACACCCGATTGATATGCCATTTCCGCTGATAAGCAATTGGGGAAAATGTAAGGTTCAAGCGTGATGGTCAATGACGTCAAAATCGCTGATCAAGCATCATGATACAATAATGCATTTCTTCACACTGGAACGACTGGTTGGGGATGGGTTATTAAGTATTCTTTTCCCCTTCTTTGGTTGAATTCTCGTAAAAGACACGCATCAATTGCGGTAACAATATACTTAATTCCACTTCGATCCCCTTCTCAGGATAAGATGTCTTTAATACAACACCTCGGCAAGGCTGCATCCTTGGCCATCACTTCAACTCGCCCTTATTCCTCAACCCGAATTCTGCGGTTCCCATACAAAGATTCTCAAGATCGTAAAAGCCTTCGACCAGATGTTTCAGAGAATACAACGACCGCCCGCGACAGTGACATAGCTGAACAACATCCCGAAACCTCCTTCGATCCAAAAACAACGTCACCCGAGGGGGCATATCGGGTCGCTGGGAAGGGGAGCAAAGATGGAAATCCACTTGAGGCCAGCGGCGCAAATCAACCATTGAGCAAGCCTCAAGGTGATGAGAAGACGCCCAACAAGAACGGCCGTGGGAAGGAAACGTCTAAGACGGGGAAGCCCAGCAGAGTCTCAGGTGCTCCTAAACATGGAAGCGCTCGCCATCCTGGGCGATAGCACTATGGCGAAGATGAGGACGTGGTCCACGAGCAATCAGTGCACTGGTTGATTACCGCATCTCTATCACAATGACAAGTAATTTACAACCACTGATGAACTCACCGGGATAAAAGAATGGATATGGAATCTTCCACCAGGCTTAAGCTCCTAACTGGCAAGTCACCGAAGTCGCTCAGTGGATGGTCGGGTCGGCAAAACTTTCTGCAAATGGTTCAATTCAGCTCAGGAAAAGTCAACGTCGAAAATGTAATGATTGTTAGCACATAGTCGAGAAAACAAACCAAAGAATCAGCAGAATTTCGGTTCGGTTAATCCCTCAAGATGTTGAAGCAGATGAATTGGAAATCAAGTCGTCGGTTCGGTTGATTTCATGTGTATCTATCTGACCCCACCTCTCCATCCCCATATCGAATATCACATTAGCACCTTGCCTTGGCTCTCAACCCCCCTTTCGCCCATTCTCTTCGCGAAACTTTCCACAAGGTCGTGCCCTGAGTCCAAGATGGAAACTTTCAAAATCAACGAAGTACGACCATTTCTCTCCATTATCCATCGGTCCAAGGTTGCTAACAAGCCCACCAGCCCTACCTCGACCTGAGATGCGGGCTTTCCGAGGGCCCGTTCTGGGAGCGTGAGGACAACGTTCTCCGGTTTGTTGATATCGTCAACAAGAAGGTCTATCGGGTGAATCTAGAGCAGGGACCCTCTTCTCTCAAAGAGATCTCATATGACGATTCTGTCTCGTAGGTCCGCCTTTTGCGATGGACAAGCGCCCCCGTGTCATGTTGCATCAAAGTCACTAATTGATCCACTACCCAATTTTCAGGGTCACTGCAGAGCTTGAAGGGGCAAAGGATAGTTTTGTCTTTGGTGGTAAATATGGCATCGGATTCGACAAGAAGTCGGGCGGGGAGCCCAAGATCCTCCAGAGATACTGGTCGGAAGATGAGGAAAAGGACGGAAAGCCTAAGAAAATGAGGGCCAACGATGGAGCCGTTGATAGCAAGGGTCGTTTCTGGGTCAGCGCGATATGTGATCCCGCAGAGACCACCTTCAAGCCGGAGGGTGAGTACATTTAAATCACCCTGTGCCTCTTGAGGGCCGTACTAATGAGCTGCTCTGATAACTAGGGGCTCTGTTTAGGCTGGACCCGGACGGGCAGTTTCACCGCATATTAAATGGTGTCACTATTGGCAATGGTATCAGCTGGTCAGAAGATGAGAAAATCATGTACTTCACAGACACTGGTGACAGGAGCATATTTGCCTACGATTTCGACAAGGAGACTGGCAACATATCCAACAAGAGGGTATTCTTCCTCGCCGATGAAGGTACAGGGCCAGACGGCCACACCCGAGACGAGGCCGGAAACTTCTGGATTGCGCTTTGGGGCTCCTGGAAGGTTATCCGTGTCTCGCCCGAGGGCAAAATCACCGGTGAGGTTCATGTCCCAACCCGATGCCCAACGGTATGTTCCTCTCTCCACAGCATCCATTCATGAAATTTTGTGTTTTGTGGGACAGGAGCTGAAATGAATACAAATCTCTTCCAGGCTGTTGCCTTTGCCGGCGAGGACATCTACATCACAAGCGAGTCTGAGCACGAGCCGGAGAAGTACCCGGAATCGGTCAAGTACTCTGGCAGCATCTTCAGGTGTCATGTTGGAACGCGCGGGAAGCCGACAGTTGCTGCTAAACTCAAAGTTTGAACTCAGAAAATCATGAATCCTAGGTACAACACTCTCAAAGTACCTAGCAACCGCAGCATTCCAACGAGTTTAACTTTCAGAGTTTGACAGGACTAGCTCCATTCTACCCTATTGTGCGTCATCCATAGCAAAGGTACATAAGCTTCGATCCAACTATCTTGCTTACCTTAGATGGCGGTGACGAGATTTCGGTCTCGCCGATCTGGATCAGCTTAAAACCGCCGCCGTTAGAATTCGAGGGCTATCCACACTAAGTATGCCCGGGGGTTGTCCGGGGACCTATGCTACATATAATTGGCAGGGAATCTTCGAAGAGTTTGTCGTAGGAATCATATCAGACCATCCGGGCTACCTATTCAGTGAGCTAGAGTGAAACGGGAAGTTCTGCACGATGGAGGGCTCTGTATAGCTTCTCCGTGATGTACCAGACCCATTACACCGTGCCTTTCACCAATACGTCCACCCCGTCGACATCACCCATGTCTCCATCGGCAATGGTGTATCAGGGATGGGTACATCCAAGCGGGCCGCAAGACGGCCGCAGAGCTCATGACGCACATTAGCTTGCGTCAAGAACCACAGTTTACTGCTTGAGCCTTGCTCTTGCATGTAGTTGTATGTTGCGTTGCAGTCCGGGGTCGTCGTAGAATATCAGGGTATGAAGCGACCAGGAAGTTGTCATAACTGGGGACCGTATGTGCCACTTTACAAGATTCTAAGAAACTCGAGACGGGGAAGAAATCATCGATATGTGACTTCTCGCGAACGGCCACCACTGGTTCGTTTCTTTGCCGAGTGTAGGCATGCTGTTTGTGATTGAGTGTAGGCACACTTTGTCATGTAGGTGGTCGGTGCCTGGGTCGGGCAGGTTCCTTCATCTTGAAAAGAGAGCAAAGTGATGAAGAGAGAAGGAGCGAGAGTTAAAGGTGAGAAGGTCTTAAAAAAAATCGGCCTCGCATATTAAACGAACGCCCAGAGAGATTGGCAACAACCGCAGCTGGCGAGTCGTTTGTACTCGAAATAAATTGGCATCAACTCGTAGACGCTGCCTCTTACATGGCGGCTTAGAGTACAGCATGACAACTTACACCGTAAAGACGAAAAATGTCGGGCTTCTAAGCCTCTCTCTTGTCATGAGATACTCACTGAGGAGTCGCTCTCATGTCATTAGATAGTTGGACCGACAGGCAGATACTCAGAGCGAATGCATCCACCTTATCAGCAGTGCGTTAGAATGATGGTGTAGGGTGGAGTGCTCTGATTCCATGAGATTGACCTTTGCAAGATAAGACGTAGACCTTTCCAATCATGCATGATCCTTCCAGCGACGGAGACAAAGTGGTGACTCTAGACCCAAAGCACATAAAGATAGAGGGTGTTGGGCCCTCGAGCTTGGACGCCGAGCCTCATGGAGCTGCACCATGGTGAATCAGGGCCAATTCGCGGTGGAATTGCCCACCAGCGACAGGGGATCAAGAGCAACACTGCATCACCACCACCATCACCGCCGGTGCATCGTGGCCCCGATTTGTCCTGCTCATTGGCCCCCGATCGCTTGACGCCCCGCGCTAACAAGCCCGTAGCTGCTGTGGTCCCGCATGACGCACATACACACATCCCAGTTGATCTTGCCGCTTCAAGCAGCTCGTCAGGCCCGCGTCTCATCCTCGCTAGGCAGACCAGTCTCCCGCGTGCTATGTAAGACCTCGGTGACGCGGCGGCAGGCGACGTGTCGCACCTGGCCCCGAGCTGCTAATAAATTCCACGTCTGCGCATACCCCGCCGCCGCTGCAACTCCCAAGCTCCAATTGCGCCCTCCGCAGACCCAGATCCGCAGTGTTTTGGGACTCGCTGTCACCACCATGGCCGAACGCATTGATCTCGAGGCTCTTGTTCCCAAGAACTCAAGCCAGGATTCGGTCGAGTCCCGCGTTGCTGCCATCCTCGACCCCGCGCTCAATGGCAGCGGCTCGGCCGACGACGTGGTCAATGGCATATCCAACCTCTACCGCTCAGGCTACAACACCGATGAGAAGGCCGAGGATTTCCTCTGGGCCTTCTGGACCCTCTATATCGAGGTTGTGAAGAAGGTCTCAGTCCAGGATTCGAGACTGCAGCTCCTGGTCCTGATCGTGGAGAGGCTCAAGGCCCGGGCTGACGGTTCCGTCGAGATCTGGGGCAAGGATACCAAAGTATGGGCCGACCTCCCGATGCTGGGACCCTGTGCGCGAGAAGCATGGAACTGTAGGTGCAATCTTGGCCTTTGCGCTGGCCTGTATATATTTACTAGCGATTTCGTATGACTAACTCGGCCGCAGTCACTCCCAAATTCGATGGCAGCGACAAGGACAATGCCACCGTCTCTTCTTGGATATCTCTCAACTCCTTCGCAGCCCGTCTCCTGGGCTCATCCATTACCTCCGGGACGGAATTTGCCATCTGGGCGTTGCGCGCAGGTCTTGAGGAGGAGCACGACTCGTCAGCCGCTCTGAATGGCCACGTCGCCGTCACACACGAGTGGGTCGTAAATGCAGGCCAGGTGCTACGGAACGGCGTCGCGAAGAACCAGGAGCTGGACGACACTGAGAAGAGGACGCTCAAGGGCGGCAAGCTCTTCGGCGGAGAGCCAGGGTTGAACAAGGAGCGCTGGACGTTCTGGCAACAGAGAGTGGAGGAGTTGAGCAGCAAGACTGATAACGAGGACGCTCAGAAGACTCTGGAAACAATCAAGGCCCTGGGGGCCTGATCGGTGTAAAATACGATGCGGTATGAATATTATGATAAACGATGCTTATGCTTCCCCCTTCCCATGTCTCTCCCCTTTGTAAGGGTTGTGTAAATATCAGGCGTAAAGTTCCCTTCCCGGAATAATAGCATCTCTCTCTCTCTTAAAACTCCCCGGCGCCAATGCTTTTCATCACCTCGTATCGTGGGATACCCGACCGCGCGTCTCATCCGTACAGCATGTCCATGTCGTCCTCTTCGTCGTCATCGGCAACGGGGATCTCCTTCTTCTTGCCCATCTCCTCCCGGCACATGGGGCATGTGCCCTTGCTCCTCAGCCACGGTCCCACGCACTCCAGGTCGAATTGATGTTTCCCCTTGCACGGCAGTTCCACCACCAGGCAGTATTCGTCCTCGAGATAGGGCACCTTGCAGATGGCGCAGTCCTCGTCCTTGTCGAGCTTCTTCCTATTAACACGGTCCAGCGTGTCCAGAAACTCCTGGCTCACGCCCTTGAGCCTCGACGGGGGGTCGTTGATGTCATCCTCGAGACTCGAGATGAGCTGCTCCAGAAAATCCCGGTTGTCCGTGGTGGGGGCTGTGTTGTGCAGGGTGAGCAGCTGCTCCTGGAGGAGTCGGAAGAGGGCGGCTGCGTCGACGGGGGTGGGCGTCGCATGAGGGTTCTGCTGGGGAGTTTCGGTACCGGCGGGGGAGCCGATCTGGTTGAGGAGGGAGAAGAAGGACGCCATGTCGACGCGGCGGGAGCGGCGGGGTTCGGAGAAGCTCACTCCATGTTCAACTGTTTATTCGAGTTAGCCGGTCTGCAGAGGGCAGTGGTAGGCGAGGAGTGGCCTGGTCGAGGAACATACCCTCATACTGTGTGGTCATGGCGGCTGGAGGAATAATAGTTTGCGAGGAGGGAGGAAATTTAGGAAAACAGCGAGTGGATTGGTGGAATCCGATGCAGTGTAGACTCCGGTATCAGGAGAAGGTGCAATATCGAGAGTAAATATAACAAGAATCGAGGGTATGGGTTCTTATGGAAGGTGTTGAGTGAAGCAGGCAGAGAGCTGTCGCAAGCTTCAGGCCTGCCTCGGGCCACCCCACCAGATACAGTTATCATCAGCTAAGCTGCCTACGGCGGGGTATTAACTGGCATCAACACCCACCCACTACCCTGTAGCACCAAGCAATGACCAGAAGCCGATATCTCGATTTTGGTTTTTTAGCAGTCTCTGCATTTTCCAATAGCATTCACCAGGTAGATTGGAATTTTTTACTCTGTATGGTCAATACTACTCAGTATGCCTAATGTTACGATTGGACTAAGGCTGATCATTTGTGATCACACCTGACTTACACGGAACCAGCGAGGTTAGGTTTGATGTGCACATTGAGCAACGGAGAATTGAAATATAAATCAAAGAGCTTCCTAAAATACTAATTCTTTTTTTCCGAGTTTTTAATCCATTTTGGCAAAATCAAAAGAAGAAAATCAATTACGCTTGCCATCGCCAGGCTTGTACGGGCGCACCTGTTCCTTGCGCGGTAGATGCCCCAGTTTCTCCCTACATCTGCGGGAGGACTTGGCCTTCAGATGCCTCTGGATATAGGAAATCTTGGACAAAGTCTCTCCGCAATTCCTGCACTGGCGTCGTGGATCGTATTCTGGCATATTCTTCTCGGCCCACAGAATGTGACAGCGGAAACAATGCTCTCGCCAATCTCGGCGGTCAGGGAAATCGTCGGGGCAGAATGGGCAGCAGACCTCACGCGTATGGCGTTTCTGGTGCCGCCTGTGCAAGGAAGATGTAAGCTCACTTGGACAAATATGTTACTTTGGGTGTGAATTCGGACTGCACTTACTTCAACTTAGGGCCTTCCTCGCGTTCCTTACCACAGCACCACTGATAACCCGGCCGAGCAGGTTCTAGGATGTACAACTTTCGTCAGCTCCCAGATGAACACAGCAGCTTAAGAAGCTCAATCTTACGTTGGGGGAGGCTCTCGGGAGAAGATCCATCATCACCTATACCACCAATTGAAACGTTGCTAAAATCATCACTGCTAAAAGAAGAATCATCAAGAGGAACACTAGGAAATGTAAAGCTGGGAGGAGTAATCACGAAAGCCGCAAAATCCCCCTGGGGTCCTTGAGAGAATCCAGCCGGGCGGCAGCCCTCGATGTAATGGCCGGAAACACCTTCTTGATTCTCCGACTAAACCATCGAACCTGGACCGCGGGTGGGGGATAGAGGGGCTGTTGTGAGATACTCGCTGGGGTGCGCTTTGTACGAAGTAATGAGGCTGGAGTCCTCAATGCCTCGTGCGAGCTCGTACATTTCATCAACCTGTTGCGCGATTGAGTCATCGGCTTGTGCAAGCATGTACTCATTGCAGGTTGAGAGCAGCATTGCTTCCTCCGGAGTATTACTAGATTGGGAAGCAAAGCAGGAACTATCCGAGAGGGACGAAGAGTACCCTGGCGAGGATCCTTGTAAGCCTTTGACTGTTAGCAATTGATTGTCGGAACTCAGCTTCAACATCTACCTAAGGTCTCCCCAAAGGGCATGGGTCCGCCGAAATCGAGGCTTGGCCCTGGATCAAAGTTGGATATAGTCCCTCCATTGGGTATTGGTGAGTTGGAATTGAAATTGAAGGGTGGATCAAAGACTGAATCAATGAATCTCCCGGGATCAAAATCTATATCGTCTAGCCAAGAGCTCATGGTGATGGTAGGGTCGGAGCCCGTAGCCAAACTAGGGGAACAACCACAAGAGTAGCCTTAAATGAGTCGCGACGAGTATGCGATTAGGAAAATGGGTAATTATAAAAAGAAAAAAGAATGCTGTTGTCTGAATGAGAAGAGAACGGTTTCGCACGCTGTATTTATATGTCACAATCCGCCCCAGAACAGAACCCCGCTTGACGATGGCAGCACGTACATCCTCCTTCACATTTATCACGTCAGTCGAGAATGGGCTTGGGCGATTGGGCAGCCATTGAGGGGTAATCGAGGCGGTGTTGGTTCTCACCGAAAATGAAGAGCAAAGTGCACTTTCTTGAGGATGACTCCAATGAACGTGGGCTGTCCGAACTCGTCATCGCAGCTGAGGGCTCGGCGTTGCAATCTCATTGGGTTGGCTTGCATAGCTGGGTCGTATCCGCGGGCCTCTTGCAGCAAGTCACTGTGATAGATGATAGAAAGATAGGGAGCAGCTTACTGATCAGCATGTGATGACGGGAGGGAGCCCCGATGCTTTCTATAAAATGGCATGCCCATCGCTCATGGATAGGATTTAAGCCAGCCTGTTCAAGCTACTCTTTCTCAAAACTCCTCAGAATTCTCGCGTACAGAAACAAACCATCCAGAAACAATTGATTGCGAAAACATTGAAAGCAAAGATGGGTGTTATCCAATGTGCGTTTCTCAGCTACCCTCCCTCCACTGTCGTAAGGCTCTGCCCTGGGGTGGAGCGGCTCACTCTTGGACTGAACTGACATCAATACTATCAAGTGGAAGAGGCGATTGCCATGAGACCCAAGAGTATTAAAAAGTTTTACGAACCCATGATACTCTTCAAAGTTTTGACTATGAAGATGCTGGCCACAGCAACACATAGCGATCTTGAAGAGGTTTGGGATCTTAACGACCCAAAGCAACTGTTTGAAGCATTTGTCAACAAGCTATGCTATGTCTGTGATAACCAAAAAGGTGATAGGGGTGCTACGATAACTTCTTTTGTCGTACTGCAACCTGATGATACTGATACTATACAATACGTTTTTGCTTGCAATCAGCAAACCAACACCGAACTGCAAGCCACGGAAGGCTTTGTAGAGAAGCTTTTGAAGCTCATTGGCAACGATGAAAGACGTAAGATTTTACTTCATCATGTTCTCCGGAACAATAGGAAGAGGGTCCGCCTGCTTTTCCAAGACCTTGTTAGGGAGACCTCGAAATGCTTGACAAGGTGTTCAATTGATCTTGAGCAAAACCGTAAGAAACAGAGACTGTTCTCATACAAAAGGATGACAATTACGTACTGACAGAGTCATGGCTCAATAGGGGAATCGGTGCAAGATTTATTACACGACATGATTAGAGTGCTGCCTGACGATGAGGATATATTGACAGACGAAGAACCCATTTGTGAGTTTGTTTAGTCTGTATGGTTTAGAGTCTCGATCCGTACAAGCTGACAGTTTCTCTCGGCAAGATCTATCTGGCTGTGATAGAATGATGAAGGCATTGGAAAAGTTTGAGAAGTCGCCAGCCAGTGAAACCATCATCCAAATGTCTCGCGACATTCGGGCAAGGGGTCACAACTCATCAAACGACTGCTGGCCGGAGATGCTACATGCGGTGAAGCGCATTTTGGCGTACCCATCCTCAATAAGGTTCTTCAAAGAGGCTCACGCGGCGTTTCCAGAACTTTTTGAAGAATTCCAGATTTCCTTCCTACCGTCAAGTATCCCCCTCGCAAAGAGCCAAATCTGCCGAGCCAAGAGTTACCAGGCGGAAGGGATTGTCAACAGGATGACAAGAAAGATGGAACACTATGAGAAGTTTAAAAAACTCGTGAGCGATCTCCAGCTGTTTAATCTGGATGACAGAATACGGGCCGAGTACGAGAAGGATAGCTTCCGGCCCTTTGTTCATTCAGAAGCCCACCTCCATGGCTGGCTGGGGAATACGCCGGGGGGATTCTCTGAGGCGCGTTTCTTCAGAGGCTGGAGGTACATTGGGAGCAGCAAGCCGACATGCAAACTCTGCCATTACTACTTCCAAGAGCATGGATCGGGTGTCGGCCATCGAATCTGCCACTCGAATCTCTATCCGTGTTGGCGACTCCCAGACGTACCTGTTTCAGCCGGGACAGCGGGTGAACAAGATCGACAAGTGATTTATGATCGAATCATCCAAAGAGTACGCAAAGACGCCTTCGACATCATAGGGAAGAAGGCCGCGCCAAAATATAGAATGCATGATTCGAATACATTCTCTGCAAGAATGCCGTTTGAGGACCATCTTTCGACCACCGCATCGGATTTGGACGATGTTTCGTCCCTGCTTGGGAATCTCGATATCAATGAATAGTCTGAAGGTTGGATACCTATCATTGATAGCTTGTTTCTTTTTTATATTGCAATTAAATTCGCTTAGGTACACGATTTGCGAAGATCTAAGGTAGTTCTAATTGATTTGTTCCCATGAGATATGAGCTTCTCAGCTCACTCACTCATCGGCCTGCGTTATTCTCTATCCCTTCAAATCGAATAATCCATCCCATATCAGTATATTGCGGAAAGAGAAGTTTTAGGAATAGAATGAGGGGGGTTTCGCCTGCCTACATGGTACCTATCTTGGGTAGGTATCCTGGTGGTGCGTAATTGGGCAGATATTGCGTATGGAGGTTGTTGCCTCGAGCATGTGACATTCCATCATTTTAGAGCACTGCAACCATGTCTCAGTCTCATTTCATCAATTCCAAACATCACCAAGCTGCAAACCCCACAGACCAGCATTTTCTGAACCAACGCACATTAACCACGTCAACATATCAATCAACCAGACATCAACCAGACTGAGAAAGTAAACAATGGCGTCCCCCATCTCCGTCGCACTCTTTGGCGCCACCGGCCTCACCGGATCCCACATCCTCTCCTCCCTCCTCGCGGCAGAGAGCAGCTGGAACCCAGTCCACACCATCTCGCGCCGCGCGCCCAAGGCCGAGGGCCCCAGCCTCAACGCCGTCGTCGAGGCCGACACGGAGAAATGGTCCACCTCCCTCAAGAGCCTCCCGGCCACCCCCTCCGTCGTCATCTCCGCCCTGGGCACCACGCGCGGCGCCGCCGGCGGCATCCAGCAGCAGTGGAAAATTGACCACGACCTCAACGTCGAGCTCGCAAAGACCGCCAAGGAGGCCGGCGTCAAGACCTTCGTCTTCATCAGCTCGGCCGGCACCCGCGGCCTGCTGTCGAACTACGTCCCCTACTCCCAGATGAAGGTCGGCGTGGAGGACACCGTCAAGGGCCTGGAGTTTGACCACAGCATCATTGTCAGGCCGGGCATGCTCCTCGGCGCTCGTGAGGAGCAGAGGTTCGTGGAGAGGAGCGCCCAGGGCATCGTCAATGGCCTCGGGCTCGTCCACAAAGGTCTGAAGAATGCTCTTGGGCAGGACGTCGATGTCATCGCGAGGGCGACGACCAAGGCGATTAAGCTGGCCAACGAGGGCAAGGCTCCCAGTAAGCACTGGGTGCTTGAGGGAGCTGATATTCTGAAGCTCGGTGCAGAGGAGTGAGAGGGTTTTTCTGAGGATTGGAGGAGGTGATTATTGCTGGTAAGCACTTCTGGATGCCGGACTTATGTCATGGCGACACTCGTTCATCTGCTTATCACATGCCGTATACTTGTTTGCTTGTTCTCGCGCACGCCACATACCCATTAGTTTTTGTTCACGCTTGATACCGATAGTATAACCAAATTGAATCTCTGTCTTTATGCCCTGAGCAGGAATGGCGAGACCATCCTTACGTACACTTCACGGAGAGAGATGGAGCTCTGGACTGCCTTACATCCTTCACCTCCGAAGACTATTGGTGGATCATTAGAACACCACGTACTACGTCGCGCAAGGTGGTATCATAGCTTGTACGAGGTTGATCAACACCACGCCATAGCTGTGTAGCTACTTGTTACCTGCAATCAATGACAAATGATCTAGGGTTCGCCTTGGGGATTTAGCCTAGGTAGAATACAGCTCGCCAATCCTTCAGCGACCGTTAATGTACACTGAAAGATACTGAATATATGACCAGGGGCAGGCCAGGCACACTCTCATAAGGTGTCATCCGTCAAGGCGCACTACATGCGGACGGCCTGCAAGGCAACCGACAGGAATATGCCTAATTGGACTGTTGCAGCCACCATGACGGACCGGTCTCGATTGCTGCGACACGCTTTTGCTCTCCGAAAACACATGTGAGAGCTGAGCACGTATTCTCCTCATGCTGCCCGGCCTATGGCCTTGCCCATACAACCATGTCATTTGGCTACTCAGTGGGCGACTTCATCACAGGAGCGAATATCACGTATCGCCTTATTCGTGTTCTTGCGGATTCCAGCGGCGCCAGCGAGGAATATCAGGAAGCCATGCTGGAGCTCAGTGCGATGCAGCAAGCGTTCCTCCAAGTGAGCCAGATGACGCAAAACCCCGTTATCCCCCAGGCAACCGTCAACTCTGCGTCTCATATTGTGATGTCAGCGATGGACATCATCTCTCACTTCCTGGACAGGAGCCGGCGTTATCGAGAGAAGCTAGGTGGGGGGACAAACTCGGGTGGGAACGAAGGCTCGATGTCTAGGATAGAGGATAGCTGGACCAAGGTTGGCTGGTCGCTCTTCAAGAAGGAGGAGTTGAAGGACCTGCGCGATCGGCTGCACTCAAGGCTAAGCTCAATCCAACTTCTCTTGTCCGCCTCAGCATAGTGAGTGTGAAACCCACCCCCCTTCTGCGTTTTTTTCCTCGTCTGCAAGTATTAATTGCGTAGTTGTACCCCGCTTTCGAAGGAAGTTTCCATTTATCAGATTCCCCCTCCAAAGGCGGAGGCAGACGTGACCATAACTACATGTACAGACATCTCGCCACCTGCCGACGACTCAACTCGAACGTTGGTCGGATCGACTACGCTGGTAGCAGAAAACAGCCCCAGAAGCCCCGAGAGTAGTACAGTATCTGCACCACAACTTCATGTACGAGGTACCTTCGATGAAGATGTATCTGAAGAGGCAATCTCAAGCGCTGGTCAAGCAGATACATTCTCCGGGGGGGTTGTGAAGGAAATGAACAAACTCTCAACGCAGTGGCTTGCGGATCTCACCATCCAGCGGGTGAACCCCGACACCATAGACAGGTTTCGGAAAATCCTCGTGGATGGAATCCAAGCGCTGAAATCCGAGCTTGATCCTCCGATACTGGTGACGGATGCGGTCGGGAGGAAGTTTCGCTTCCCGTATCGCTTAGTTATGACTTGGGCGGTGCGTTCAACAAACTCTCATCGTATACCTTACCTATCTGACTTGTTTAGGGGATGCATGGGCTGCTCAAGGAGGCATTTCTGAAGGTAGAGACTCTAGGACATCATGTGATCGAGGGCCACTATGACTTGATGGGACCCAGTGGTGAAATACTCCTACCACCCATCTGGGAGAGAGTAGTTGTGCCAGGGATGTCCATCAAGATGACGATGTGGCCTATTGAGGAGCTGGGGAACAAGCATCCAAGTCCACCCTTCCCTCCACCGGTGCAGCCGCAGCCGCTGCCGCCGCCACCGCCAAAGCCTGCGAGACATTCGCTTGATCCTCGTACAACTCTTCCGAAGGTGGAGGAAATTCCTCCAAGTATCCCTCCATCTGATTGGGGAAATTGGAAACAGGGCGCACTGCTGCCATTGTCCAAAAGAGGGCGAATCGAGGGGAAAAGATCCCGGAGCAAAGTTGTTATAAAATCGCAAAGCAGTTGGACGACGGAATCATCTGATGATGATAACGACTTCGGCCCGGCGAGTAGCATTAGCTCTTGAGAACTAAATCGTCTGGGTAACGCAAAGATCAGTAGCATGGCCTTTTCCTAATACTTATCTGAGTATCTCTTTATAAAATACTTACCAAAGTAGGTTGCTGCTTGATAGTTCCAATGCCTCCTGACTTATAAGTCGACATATAAGTGTGTAAGCCCAGGCAGCTACCAATCGCCCGCGTCAGGCCTAAGCGCACGCTATAACTGGCGCTGGATAGCGGCCCCTCCCTCTGCTGCCCCTCTGTCTCACCCCTCCACTTGGCGAGTCAACGACTATCTCTCTATCGCAATTGAACCCCACCATTTGCTGATAAACCCAGGCGGAACGCTCTAGATACCTCGCACAAGGCAGTGAGCCGAAATCCGAGCAATTGCTCGTCCATCCCTCAGCTCCTCGTTCCACAGACCGCCAACCTCGCCTCCCTGTCTCACTCTCCAGCTCGTCCCTGTGTTCCCGTCCAGAGCCCCCCTGAGCCAAAACCTCCGCCAGCAACCGCGAGCCTATTTCCCCCGGGGGACCGACACTCCGCCAGTGACTCATCCCTTCCGCTCACACGGGCTAATATATGTATATACATCCACTCATCGCCGCCCTGGAAAACCCGATATAACTAACACAGCCAGAAACCAGAGCCACGCCCGCCATGGCTGGACGTCCGAGCATTGTCGGCGAGCAGGCCGGCCCCGAAGCCCCGTATCCGCTCCAGATGGAGGGCAAGGTCATCGCGGGCTTCGGCCGCGGGTCCAAAGAGGTGAGAAGACGCCTCACTCCCCCCCCCCCTTTCTCCTCAACACCCCTTTTCCCACGCATCATGTCTTACCTTTCGTCCTACCCCGCCATATGAGGTGAAGGAGGGGGGGGCAAAGGCACGGGCCATCCATCCATCCATAAACTTCGGTTTTCCATTAACGCACCAACTAATCTTTCCAGCTTGGGATCCCCACCGCCAACCTCCCGGTTGACGCCGACATCACACCCTGGATCTCCTCCACCGCCTCCGGCGTCTACTTTGGCTACGCCTCCCTGGACCTGGACGAGACGCCGGGATCGCACCTCAGCATCTACCCCATGGTCATGTCCATCGGGTACAACCCCTTCTACAAGAACACGGTCCGCAGCGCCGAGGTGCACATCCTCCACAAGTTCGGCAAGGACTTCTACGGCGCCCACATGCGTCTGCTCATCCTCGGCTTCATCCGGGAGGAGAAGGACTACAAGAGCCTCGACGCCCTGATCGAGGACATTAACTTTGACTGCGAGGTCACCCGCAGTTCTTTAGCTAGGGAAGCCTGGGCGCCTAAAAAGGGACTTGTCGTGGATGGTCCTGATGTTGATGGTAAGCTCGATGCCGAGTGGTTGGTTAAGCCGTTATAGACAGGGGAAAGCTTAGGATAAAAGAGCCAGGATATTAGATGAATCTAGAAAGAGCGGGAATAGCAGGCAGCGAGGGGTAACACCTCGAAAGCTACAATCAGAGGCATGGGAGGAGGGGGAAAAGGCGCAAGGCAATCGAAAATCGTATTCCTTTGTCAATCAACTCAAACGAGGTTGCTATTTGCAACACCTGCCTATGGACTTTGCATATGTCCCTACCCTCCTCCACCGCTAACTCAAGCACTTATGTAGTTGCCTGTATCTTTTGTTTCAAAAGTTATTTAACCTGCAGCCCATCCCTATCTTGCGTAAGACGAGTGCACAATTTGTTCATGTTTCACTTGAAGACGGAAAATTCCTGTCTCGACTTGGCTTGAAGCAACGCTTGTATCTTCAAAATGAAGCTTGAATGTGGAAATTTCCAACAAAAAGAAAAATTTCCAACTGATTTTTCATATTGTTTCCAATAGCAGCCATTACACGGCCAATTGCTGTACCTCTTGGTTGGGGTAATATCTCGGCAAGAACTATCTCAGGTGTTAATATGTTTCTTGATTTATGGGGCGAACGAAATAGGGAGAGGGGTGACTCGTTTTACTTACGTTGATGATGATCATCATGGGAATATCAAACACATCGCGCTTGATCGTCCAGCAACATGTGCAGTTGACCTTGCCATCTTGTTCAATTCTTGATATCCCGTGTTCGCCGTCAATTGTTGTGACCCTATTGCTGAGCATGCCAAGCCGAGGATCCTTCTGCGGGCCTTCCTTTACAATAGATTGTTCTTGTGTCCTATACTTGAGCAAGCGACAGCTTCTTTGGACCTTGCCTCGGGAGTCTTCGAACGCCAAAAGCGAGTAGTCATTATAGAACTCCACGATACTGTCATCGTCAAGTAGCTCCGCTAAAAACACGGGTTGAGGTCTACCCGAATTATTCTCGCCGTTGCCATTGCTTTGCTGGCCGGCATCGTTTTCTGGAGTGGAGGAGCCATTGGTGACAGGGTTCGCCGGCACGTACTTGTTGGGCTCCTTGCCCAGCAAAACGTCCTTGGTCCAGCCAGTGAGCGCGGTGAATTCCTTGTTCACAGCAGCAACCTCTCCGGACCGACGGCAGACAATGGTCGGGGCACAGCAATGCTGCAAGAAATCATCGAACTCAACCAGGGTTCGTTGGAAGCACTTCTCCATGAAGATGAGATCCTCACGAGTCAGATCCTTTGTAGAAGCAATGAACGATGGTCGAATCTCGCCGAGTGCCCTGGCAATACGTAGCAGCTTGGGGAGGGGTAGGCGCTTGCGCAGGACAGACGTCATATTGTGGAAGCCTGTTGTGTAAGGATATGGCTCCTTGACACTTTCGTAAATGGATGCCGCATCGCGATGGCGCTTACCCAAGATTGTCTGGCTGGCTTTGTTTGCTTTCGGCTTCATACGATGAGCCGCCGACACCATGTTGATGTTGGCCAAATGTGCTGGTGTTGGTGACCCGTCACCCACGCCGCCAGGGGCTTGTGGGCTTGCGGTAGTCTCCGTGCTTGGGCTGGCAAGGCTAGTAGGCCCAGCAGCAATTGCGTAGGCATGAGGCAGCCCATGCTGGAGGTTCCCTTGATTGTAAATGGTCGCGTTCTGGTCAACTCCCGTGAAGTCTCCACCCATCAGTCCATCATAGGTGCCGTTCCCCCCATTTCCAAACACCGCAGCATACTCATTTGTAGGCGTCTGCGATAGGGAATTCTCGCGAGGAGGAGTCTCGGCACCTAGACCCATCTTGTTGAGGATACCAAACTCCCAACCCGCATACTGGCTGCCAAAGTTGAGACCCTCCAGGTCAAAGTTGTACAGCGCAGGGTTGCTAGGGTCAAACAGCGCATTGAAATCCATCGTGTTCGCCGTCATTAGACCCTCTATTGGCGGGTTGCTATTGGCCGCCCCAGGAAAGGTTCCTGTCGCTGGTGAGGCTTGTGGTCCAAATGGGAACCCATCAGACATCCCTACGGATGTTTGCGTCCCGGTTGGATATACGGGGAAAGTCGACCCGCTGGCCTGAGAAAAGAAGGTACCGCTGGCGGCCCCAGTTGACATGGCGTTGTCTGAATTGCTCGAGTTCTGGCGCTGGTTTGGTGGTCGGGTGGAAGTCGTGCTGGGATTGTAGGTAGGACCTAGAACTGGCCTGAGAGCCTCTGGCGGGGCATCGTGGAGGTACTTGGCTTTCTTTCGAACGCCATCCTGGCAAGCGTCGCCAAGCCCGCGCTTTATGCATCTTTGGCACGGCCTCTCATCTCCTATACCTCGCTCTCAGTATCGCTCAAGACAGAATGACTGGTGTTAAGAAATGTGGGGTTGCGGAAAGTGGTAAACCTGGGCGAACCCAAGAGGCCGGGCAAAAATGAAAGTAGGGAAGAAGGGAGCTCTTGACAGCCCATAGAAACTTACCACAGGTGAGGTGGGCACGTTGACAAGCAAAGCATGCTCGCCTTGCCTTCTTGCGCCTCGGTCTTGAAGGATCTTTAGGATCATACTTCTTCTTGACCGCACCGTTGCTATCGGTGTTGCTACTCTCCGCCATCTTGTCGTCGTCTCTGTTGTAGATCTCTGACTCGTCCTCGTTCTCAGACATGGGATCTGAGATCTCAGTCATGTGGTCATCTATACCTGAAGGCATCTTGCCGTCGGGTTCTTATAGTTCTCAAGGCGACTGTCTGACCGAGCGGGAAGAGCCCAACCTGATAACGCAACCAGCCGGAATGGGGCCTGGATCCCTGTCAGTTCTGCTGTGCTCCCAATCTCAATCTATTTTGCACGACGGCGGCGGCGGCGATGTTGACGCTATCCCCAGGATTGTGCGAGGTACCTCCGCACCCCCTCCAACAGCTTTGGAGACGCTACACGAGGTGCGCCTCTGTAACACTGCAGAGAAAGGATTGTGGGACCCTGATATGGCAACCTCGACGCAGGTCCTGGATGAGTGCCCAATGCGGCTTGAGACGCCCCGGAGCGCACGGTGTGGAATTGAGGACCCGGAATTGGTCGCTGGGGGCGCCTCTTTTCGCTGATCGACTCGAGTTGCAGAGCGGCTGAGCGCTCTCGGTCGGTGAGCGATGCAATAAAACGTATGTGACAAAGTGCAGCTTGCTGTCGGCGGCCGAGCCCAGACAGGGGTGGCGGGCGGCGACGCGGGCAAGATCAGCCTCTGCCGGCTGTAGGTGAGATTGTCTTGGAGGCGGGCGACTCGTATTGTATTCTCCGCAAGGTCCTCCGGCCAATGAGCTCGTCTTGGGCGTCACAATGAGGCGTTCAGGTTGTGTGACGAGCGAGTGCGAAGCAATAGTACGTGCGGCGACGACGAGGACATGGAATGGGTGGTCGATACGCAAGCCGTCTGGTTTGGCGCAAGCCCAGGAAAGCGGCAGCAAGGGCCTAAGCCCTCCCTTTAGAACGCGGCGTACGAGTTCAATGGGAAGGAAGTTGGCAAGGCTAGAGGGCTCTGCAGGTTATATCGAGACGTTGCCTCTCTCGTCGCCGATGTAATATGAGGGCCTGGTCGCAGTCTGGACGTGGACTTGGTCGATTGATCTACGTATGTCGCGTGGAAACGCTGCGTCGACGATGGGCACCTTTTCGGGGGTCTAGGCCGAAGAATGGGTTCGGGTGGGCGCCGATGACTGTTCAGTCTGGGTGAGGGCAGAACCGGCAACGTCACAGGTCACTGGGGGGTGGTCGCCTGGATGGTAGAGCCGCGGAGGTCTCTGGTCTCGCAACGGACGCAGAGGATGGGATGTGCAGAAAGCGGAATCGGGGTTTAGGACATGTGAGTTCTCACACGAGCCGATCGATCAACGACTTTGAAAAAGGAAGTGCAAGAGGCTAAAAAAGCCCAGACCACCCGCGGTCGATGTATGTACATCAGAAGCAACTTCCTGCAGCAGCTGCTTACTCCTACTTACTTACCAGGCCCACGAAGGTACTACCTGTGCGTGCAGGCATGAACGACCCAATGGCCACTGACCTAGACCAGCCCCAGCGCCAAGCTTTTGCTGCGGGGCTTTCACCGGTTTGGGGTGGGCTTGGGGAGGCGACAGAGAGGGTGCCCATTGGCCCGAGCCGGTCCTCCAGGTAGACAAGACATGCCCACACGAGCAAGGCCACACCGAGCTGGAGGTAGCCGAGACTAGACCCCTCATCAGAACAACGCAACCCGCTTGGCCCCGCCGGATGTGTTGTGCTGTGCTGGACAGACATTGCGACCAGCAGCGAATAGCAGACTCCGGCGCATGGATGCGCGATGCGCCAATTGACCCAGCCAGGCCGACATGATTTTCGCTAATGTAGGGACAGAGGGAAGCTGCGTGCTAGCCAAGTGACGCGACCATGCCCGGCAGATCTTGTCACGGCCATGTCCAACATCCCATCTGCAGAACCGTTGCGATCCCGCCGCGAGCTTGTCCCGGGCCGGCGGTGAGGAAAAATTCAGACAATCCCAGACAGGGCAGAACATGGGCAGTCGCCATTATGCTCCGCTTCGACCGAATCGATGGGCAAAAGACTTCCCTGCCCCCACACTCGCGGCCTTCCCCTTGTTCTGCCTCCTACGTGCAACTGATTGGCTGCACTTGCGCCATCGGCTGGAGACGGGAGGCGGCGATGTACGCTGCGAAATATTAGACAATTATTAGACATGGGGCTGAAATGGGCAGAAGAAAAAAAAGAGGACATCATGTGCAGGGCTGTATTGCCTCTTACTTGCAGGCATGCATGCGTATTCGTATGGGGGGTTATTTTAGGAGATAGATTGCCATCTTGACTTGGTCTGTGATAACCGAGGTGCCGGCAGCAAACTGCAAAATACACACATCCATTACAATGGAGAGCAAAGGGCATGTCTCAGCTGTTTCAAAACTTTTCCCAGCCACCAGTGAGCTGGCGCCGTCGGTCTCCTTTGGCCCAACCCCTGCAAGCCCATGCCTCCAAGGCTGGCTGTGATGAGAATCATGTCATGTGAGTGCGCGTGCACGGACGTCCATCGCCGCGCAGTCCCATCTCCATCTCCATCTCTCCATGTACGAGCGATCATGTCACGGAATACCCAATCCAGTGGTCTGGGAAAGAGGGGCTAAAATGGCGGGGTGGGAACTATCCACGTCCGCCCCCAGAGCTAAAGCAGCTCCAACTCGCTAACATGCACCGCGCATCAATGCCAACGTAGCCTCCTTATTACCTACATACCGACTAACTACTAAGGTACGAGTAGGAGGCTGGTGTAGACGATGGGCGGCGGGGCAGGACGGCGCGTACACTTCGAATTGCTCTGTTATTACCATTATCGACTAGGTTAATCTCGACAGCTGTGCAGCATTGCAGGCTGGCTGCCGTGTCACATCACCCCCAGCCCGTTGTCCTGCCGGTCATCAGCCTGGCCTCTCACCATCCGCCTGTCGTCCCTCGTGTGGTGCCTCGGGGCTCAGCCTCGGCGCACTGTACCGAGTACTCAATCTCAACATCGAGATCTTCGCACATGGCTCGCGCTGTGCTTCCCCAACGCTGACCGGTGCAAATCCGCGTCAGGCTTTAGCTGGTATATCGCACACAGCAGCGCATTGGCAGCTTGCTGATGCAACCGCACGCCCGTCCACACCCACCTAGCCTCCTTCTTCCCCTCCCTTCCTTCCTCTCCTTCTCTCCGGTAAGGATTGCAAGTCCTCGGCATGACTTTCCTACCTATCCCCTCGTATCTCCAAGCTGTCCTACTCGCCTTAGCCCAGTGTGGTGTCTGGGCCGATAAGGTGGCGTCCCTTTTGTAACAGATCAGCGGGCGCTCTCCGCTGCTGGATCTGGTCTATTGCTCCTCTCCTGCAGATGCAGGCTGGGCCTGGATCCAGCTGGCTACGACTTGGCGAAGCGACTCCTGCGCCGAAGCCTCTTGCCGTACTTGAAGAAGATGTACGGGAACGGCAGCATTGCCACGGTGAGAAAGGCAAGCAGCGAACTTGCCCAATGGTTGCCCAGGGCCACGTACATTTGGTTCCCAAACAAGGGGAATGCAGCTATGGCCGGACGACTCAGATCAGCTTCCCCCACTCTCAAGCCAGTGGTGTGCGCCTCACCACAAGATGGGAACACTCACCTGCAAAAGTACATCGTACAAAGGCATTGGCAGCCAGTGCGCTCGCTGCAGATTGGGGGTATGCGTCCACCTATCACGACGTGGTCAGCACTAAGATTCGGAAAGTGAACGATATGGCGATAGGCCGTGAGTCTGGGCAGAAGTATCCCGAGTGAGTGAGGAACAAGGGAAGTACTTACAAGAAAGGTAAAGATCCCTGTAAACACCAATATGACTCTATTCCCACGGATTCTTGCAGTCAGCCATCAATGCTCTCTCTTCCGCGTCGAGTTCTGTGCAAGGGCTGGGGGTGTAAGAGGGCATGCCATGACAGTAGAACACAAAGTGCAATGACAAAGGCCTGACTAACGGCTCCTCGTGTAAGTCAGACGCCATGCAGTTCTGCCCAAAGCTGCCTGTCCAATAGATTGGATCTTGCTTGGAAGGATTACACACGACGATCACACACGAGCATCACTGCATTGATAATACAGGGGGCCACGCTCATACACACCGAGCGCCTCCACGATCTCCCCACCCCCAAGGTGCATCCATATGCCGTGTAAGAGATGTTGGGATTAGGGGATAGAGCGTCTGCTCCTTTCGGTACTCACCCGGTTCCAAAAATGGCCGATCCAATAATGGGGACGATCCAATGCACCCACGGATAGGCAGACCACCCAAACATGAAGATCCCGGCGGGCACGAGGAGCGCACCGGCGATAGCAGGTGGCAAGCGGAATTCAGGCTCGCTCGCCCCCTGGATGCCCGTCTCCGCTTCGAGTCTGCGCATGAGCTTGCTCCTGATGCGGTGCCACACGGGGTCAGTGCCTATACCAACCAGCAAACCGGCTCCCATCCCCATGAACGACAGGCCGATTTGCCACAGGTTGAACTGGTAGATGGTCCCGAAGACAAGGGGGAAGGCACCAAAGAAGAGGTAAAGAATGCCAAGGAGGATGGCTGAGTAGATGCAGAGGCTCAGCACCATGAATTCGAATATCAATAACTGGAAGGGTCGCAGCAGTGATCGGCCGACGGCTGCGATGACCGACTTCTTTGTCCTCTCCGTAGGTGCAGCCCAACGCTCGTCACTAGTCTTCTTCCGAAGCATCTGCGCCTTCTTCCTCAGGATAATGGGGTCTGTTGATAATAGAGGTCAGTTGGTGTCGCATCTGGGTGATATTGTCTCACAGTGACTCGGAAAGCCTTCAAAGAACGAGGGGTGAGACCTACGGTATGTCTCAGGGCATAGAAATACGATGGCCAATAATAAAACAAACCCCCATATCAATAGAACGTAGTATGTCCAACGCCAATGCGTGTTGTAATTGATGAAGCCACCGATCAATGGCCCAACGCAGGGACCAAGGAACGGCGCGATGGAAAAGACGGCCATGGGGACCTGGAGTTGTTCTCTGGTAAACAAATCGCCGACTGTACCTCCAGAGACAGCCAAGAACGTGCTCCCGGCGAAGCCATCCAAGAAACGGCAGACAATCATGGTCGCAATGTTCTTAGCCACGGCTTGTGGGATGATCCAGATGACATAGAGAGACCATGCAACCAAGTAGATGGGCCGCCGGCCATAGAACTCACTCAGAGGACTGAAAAACATGGGTCCCAGGGCGATGCCCAAGACAAACGTGGATAAACCCAGGACTGAAACGATTCTCGAGTTGCCAAATTCCGCCTCCATCTGCTGGTATGTCGACGTGTATATCGAACTTGCGCTTGTCCTATTTTCTTGGTCAGTACTCAGTTGTAACATATATACCAGCACGACACCAATCACTAGTTAATCATATGTCCATGAACTCGAAGCAACTCACACGCAGAAACTAGCGCTGGACACAATGGACACTATCAACCACTTGCGCGCTACATTGAAGCTGCGAGGACACAAGGGGTCACTGTCACCTCCATCCCATCCAACCAAAAAGGGGTCGTCTTCATCGTTGCCCGGGTTGTTTGCAGCAGGCTCGTCCTTCTCGGAGGAATCATCGGAGACCCCATATCCATTCTGTGAACGCACTCGGGTGATCGAATGAGACGCCGAGCTTTGCTGTGACACCTGTCTTGAAAGATGGGCCCCTTTTACTGAGCGGATTGGCGCAAACTCAACCTCTGTGTTGCTATTGCGCGCTTCGTCAGATAGCGAATTCCTAGAGCTAGGGACTCCCTTTTCTGTGTCATTCTCCATTGTCGCCATTGTTAATCCCTCGGGTTTCCCCGCAGTCGCGACGGATGATGGAGAGAAACCTTAGTCAAGTATTGAGAAACTCGCGACTTCTATTCCAGAGAATTGTGATATATGGTGAACAAGTGCTGACTGGAATTAAGGTCTGGAAGCCTGGTGAGAATATATCATCGCACTGGAGTTGGGAGCAAGGTTGACCTGTCACCTCATCAGGCTGGACTCGGGAGCATTGCAAAGATATATCTACAAAGACCCAGTGAAATGCTGACATTTATCATACTTGAACGAGGGACGGTTGACATATCACGTCTGTAGTCGTCAGTAAAAAATCCAGCGATAGCACCCTGCGTCACCCCCCTGTTCGGACTTATTATCAGGGGACGAGGTCGGAGGCGCGAAGAGCGAGGACCCATCTCCATTCTTTTCCAGGCTAGTCGTAATGCCTGTTCATACTTACCAAGCCAGTTACTAAGCGTTTGCCTCATCTGGCAATTTGCGAAGTGAGTCTCTCCGGTTTCTGGAGAAGGATCATCACTCAAGACGGTGCTCGTCGATGGAACAGCTCGCCCCTGCATTGAGATTGAATCTTCGGTGTGACTCGAATTGATGATAGAGCAGTACCGAAACCGGATCAAGTACTTGTCTTTTTCGTGGTTATCTGGAGATCCAACTCGTCATTCATTTGGCGGGAATAACCCGGCGGGACTGGACAACTTCCCCGTCATCTCCGTGTAACTGAAGCAATGGATCTATCGGCACGGCTCCGTGATTCCGGGCCTGTGTCACATGCGGATCAAAGGGTGAATGATATTATTCAGCCGTGTAAGTAGCCTGGTCGCGATTCTCTAATATACTGCCGTATTTCCGTCCAACTGACGTCTTGGATGCCCAAATGCAACATCGTCTACGGCATCACCCTAAAAATAAGAAAAGACGAGA